TATAGGGGCGTCCGCGCGGATACCGAGTCCGCGCTGATTGCAGCGGGTAATGACGAACGGGGGCCAAGGGTGAGCAGCAGCCTGGAAGTAAGTAAAAATTTAAAATTTAGTTACCGCTCGCGTGCGCCCGACGGTTTGCGAACGCCGCGGATGTGGGACAGGATGAGTCAGCCCGCGTGTTGAACGTCCGATATCGTGGAACAGCGTTTCTCAAACTTTTCTACCTTGGACCGATGCTGTATATTGAGAATTCTAAGCGAAACGCGTGATATACATTAACACACGAATGAATTAAGAAGAGTTATTTATTAAATCATTAAATATTGAATATAAGAAGCTTGAAATAATTAATAATTTTGTCAAATTATTATCCTATTATTTTCACAATAATGAAATTCAAGATATAACCCAAAATACAATAAAAATATCGCATTTAACTATAAGAAAATAATTTATAAAATTCTCTAAGTGGCTCTCTTTTATGCATTGAATCCTAACAATCATTTTTCCTTAACATCAAACGATATTCCTATCACGTTTAGGACTTTGTCATTTGAACCCAGCCCAGGAAACCTCAGTAAACCACAGAACTTTCATCAGCCTGTCTAAAAAGCAACGAATCCCCAAATGGGAACACAATCAACACCCGTGGCGTGGCTTCGGTTCCTGTTCTCAGCGAAAATTCGCGAAACTCCTTCGATGTACGGAAAAGCACAGCGGAAGACCGTCGACCGTTTATCAAATATCCGTCGTTAATCCAGTTAGGAGCAATCCGGCAGGCCCTGACGTGACGCCGCCGGATTGTAAAGAGAGGATATAGGGGCGTCCGCGCGGATACCGAGTCCGCGCTGATTGCAGCGGGTAATGACGAACGGGGGCCAAGGGTGAGCAGCAGCCTGGAAGTAAGTAAAAATTTAAAATTTAGTTACCGCTCGCGTGCGCCCGACGGTTTGCGAACGCCGCGGATGTGGGACAGGATGAGTCAGCCCGCGTGTTGAACGTCCGATATCGTGGAACAGCGTTTCTCAAACTTTTCTACCTTGGACCGATGCTGTATATTGAGAATCCTAAGCGAAACGCATGATATACATTAACACACGAATGAATTAAGAAGAGTTATTTATTAAATCATTAAATATTGAATATAAGAAGCTTGAAATAATTAATAATTTTGTCAAATTATTATCCTATTATTTTCACAATAATGAAATTCAAGTATGATTTTAGTGAAGTTCCTTTTGTCAAATCAAATATAACAATTTCTTGTTTCTCTGTATAGTTGCATTTGCCTTTGGTTCGTAATTTGGTTACTCGATTCTATTTCGATTCGTTGCCATTGTCTCTATCTAATTGGCTGATTGTGAGATTACAACCAAGGGAACAACTCAATTTTACTGCATGTACACCGTAATTATATTACAGCTGTAAAACACAGTCTTCCTTCTATATTCTTTGACCTGACGTGCAACGTATGTAGATTTCTTCAGTATAAACTCGTGAAATGTTGAAAATGATTTTTATATAATTCAATCTGTCCATATGTGAGTGTCAAGAGTTTGTTATCTCGAAAGGAAACAATTTGTCCAATTAGGAGGATAGAGAGATGAGGCCAGAAGTTTACAGAAAACCACGAGCAGGCGGTACGATTTTGAGAAACGCTGGCAAAGCGCGGGAATACTATAGAACCGCATCGCAAGGGTGTAAGCTTTAATAAGGGCTGCCGAATTTCACACTGACTTGGCTCGCCACGGATCCGGAGAAAGGGAGGCTGAGTCCGACCAGGGCGAGGGGCGCGGAAAGGGGAGGGAGAATCGGGGGAGAGGACAACGAAACGGGAAAGGGAGCAAAGGGAGGCGTGCGGCTGATCGAGAATAAAGTCTCGCGTTCTAAGCACGGGTCTGAACGCTCTTCTCCAACGCACCGTATACTTTAGCCGGCCCGTTCGATCAACAGCCAGATTATTAGAGTATTAGAACTTGTCTCATAACTCACGGGCCTAATGGCCTTTGACCCGGCCCGATACCCACGCCATTCCGTATTGCCTTTGACGCGATTCAGGATATATGTTCGTTTTCCGGACTGCATCGTTATTTTCTTTCTTCTCTTTTTATCTGGTAACAAAGTTTTATGCTTAAGATAGAAAACGTTTTCTACGGTATTATATAACTTGTAGGTTGTCCTTAATTTGGTTTCTGGTTTTTTTCCTGCGATTGCAGTTGCATGCACTAGTTACGGTAGATTCATGATAAAATTTTTTCCATATCTAAATTACTTGCAAACGTTAGGGAAATGCGCGCCCCGAGTCTCGAGTGCCTCGGGAAATTCCATCGGTGAACACCGAACCACGGTAAAAATCTGTGAAGCCAGGATCTCGACCGGGTTCCGCGTGCCGAGACGAGAGAAGCGAACAGCTGCGACAGCGGTTCTGCACTCGCAACGGGATTGTTTTAATGCCATTTAAACTAATCGAATTAGAGAATGAATCAATGTGACGATACGAAACGATAAAAGAGGGAACGGTCCGGGTGCGGGAGGGATCGTGGGGGCGGACGAGAACGAGGACGGAAGGTTCGATACGGGGGGGGGGGGTGGCTGGATGGATACGCAAAGGGGGCGCATGGATGTGCAACAACAATCCCCGTCCTGCAAACTCCGCAGCTGCCAGGCACAGCGCCCGCTCGACCGGAAGTAACACGACTACTGCCTACCACGCGTCTCCGTCTCTCCGATCCGATGTTTCTCTCTTTGTTTTCCTCCCGTTCCTCCCCTCATCTATCACCCGTCCCGTCCTCCCGTCTCTGTTTAACCGTGTCTTGTTCCATCGCGCGTACGTTCTTCGTTTCTTCCATCTCGACCCCTTAGTCGCGATTCGCACACCCTTACTGTCATTTACATGCGTGCACGTGATACAACCGCGAGTTCGTTCGGGCTCGTTTCCCAAACACTCAGGCCCAGGCCCCCTTGGTTTCGTCTTCTAGCGTGCAGAAAAGAGGCGCGAGATCGTGTCTTCTATAGGTTTGGTACAAACGATCTCGCGGTAAAACATAATGGAACTGGACATGTATACTTAGCATATTACTAATAGGGATAAAGGTGCTGCCAGTAGAAATAGAAATAGACGTGTGCAAAATATGTATTTTCATCCTATACATATAATGATTATACTAAACGTAAGTATTGAAATAGATTGACGAATTTACTTTACTGTATGTATAAAGAAAAAGCGTTTGTTTGTATGCTAGCAAAAATCTCAAGCACTGAAGTGATGGTCAATAACTAGAGTATTTACAATGAAAAGGCAGTAGCTTTCTTGAGTATCATAAGATAATTTGCAAAGCAATGAACATTATTATGAATAATTATGAAGTCGAAGAAGAGTAACAATAGAGAAAATTAAAAATCATTTTTTTTGTATTTAGACAATGACGTCACTGAGCAAAAGGCAATTTTAAGGCAGGGAATTGTAAGGCAGTTGTCACTCGTTTGGCGCGCGGATTTGCGCAATCATTTGGAAACGTCCGGCCGTTGTAATTTGACACGCGTGCCAATGTCAGATGTTTTAAAATTACGACTTCTCCCGCGCCTCGTCTGGTATCGGCTAATCCAAAAAACGTTCTTGCGTCGAATCGAATTTTTTCTAGCTGAGCGGAGTCGCACGTGCCAGTATCGCGTGCTGACTACGTGTACCGTTTAAAATGTAAACCCGATTTAACCGTGAAAGTGATCGAGAAACAGAGTTGGAGCAGGTTCGACGAATTATGTTCCAGCGTACCTAACAAAGAATTCTTCGAACATACGAAGCGAATTTGGAAGCGTGTTCTGAATTGAACGAGACGAGCTGTATATGTATATGTATAATAAACATAATCTATACTATAAAATTATACAAATAAAATAAAATTAAAACAAAAGTATAAAATGTGTTTCTCTAAATTCTAAACGAAGGGAAATTGTTAGAAAGTCCTCGAGCTCCAGCCGCTATTTCTACACACGAGAGTAATAAAATCTTCCCCACCAGCAGCCAGACTCTCTGTATTACACACACTGATATCATACGATGTATAATGAAGCTCCTTTTTTGATTTTAAAACGATATTTGGTCGAAAATCCCAACCAAATAACGATTTACCATTACTGTTTGTTTCTCACATACGAAGCGAGTATTACACAATCGGTATTCATGCTCTCATTGCAAAATACGCCTATTAAACCTATCGGTGGCAGCATTTTGTCAGAGGATACAACGACGAAAAGCGAATAATAAAAAGGGGCGATTAATACTCCCGTTTGGTGTGCACGCAAAATTACCGCGTTCTCTCTTTTTAATAGCGTATAAAAATCAAAAACGCGATCGACACTCGGTTGACGCGCTCTCGAGTGTTGAAAATGGCCGCACTCGCGGCGCGGAATAATAATAATTACGATCAAGTTGTAATGTCTCTACACGCACTTAAACATCGAATTAACCCAGGCCGAGCCGCCCTGGGCTACGTTCACAGTAATATCCCTATTACACGTCTTTCCTCTGTCCTCCCCCTACGGGCCATGGCTGTGTTCCTCTTCTACACCTCGCCAGTTTACGCGCGCGCCCCGTTCTCTCATTAACGTGTGCGTGCCGTTGCACTGCACCACGCTCTCGCCCTCGTACAAACCGATCAAAAAGTAAGCAACGCGGACGTCCTTTCGACGAACGGACCGGTGTAATTAAATTCCTTTGGGCGATTATTTAACCGATCGCCGCGCCGTTCCACGGTGAATTTGCATTTTCAATAAACGGGAAACGGTCCGCGTGTTCCCGTCCACGGTATGGGAAAATCTCCTGGGGTGTTCAGTATCGAATTAATAAATCCTGGTCGTTCCCGAATGGTTTGAGGGCATTTAAGAATAAGATAAGTCTTGATTGTACAAATCAGTATGTAATATAATCATTTATTGTGGTTCAAATTTCCGAAATACAAATGAAGTAATGTGAGTCAATTGTAAACTAGACGATAGTGAACTTAAATAAAAATCAAATTCTCTTTATTTATTGATTATTACAAATAACTAAGAAAGGAATATGTTAATGATTTTATGGTTACACACTATTTTCCACACTATTTCGCTAACACGCTTTTTTAATTATATTAAACAGACAGTAAGATTTGATAGTTCCAAGCTGTGGAAGTAGTATAAACTATCATATATCAGACACTTACGCGTATATCATAATCTGGAAGCACCCATAATGTAATACAATAGAAGTGCACGTGACGCAATTCTTCCTACATAAATCGTAACCTTTGGCTGCGATTAATCAAACGTTGCGCAATTTCGAGTTAAAGATAGCGAGGTGAGCGTGCATCAAGCCGTCCGTCAGTCGTCGGCGTCCTGGAGTTCGCGCACCGAGCGTCGCGCTGATCCAACCCTCCGAAAAAGCAGCCGGCGAGAGGCCGGCGGCAGCAACCCTCCTATCGGCGTCGCTCCGCCCCGTACCACCACCCTGGCAACCACCCCAATAGCGCCGCGGCGCGGTACAGTCGCCTATAGGGTTGCACCGTGAGCGCCGCTGCACCCTTTTACGCTCGCGACCCTTCGCTGCGCTGCTCCGCCGGTCCATGCCCATCCATCCGCATCCCTACCCGGGATCTGCATTCTCCCCGCGTCATCCATCTCGTCCGCGATACTCGCCAGCTGCGGAATATCGCGTGGCTGTTAACTTCTCGCGGATATTTCTCTCCTTTCGAGGTTACCCTCCCCCTGCTCGTCATCGAACCACCCCTTTCGCGCCGGTTTCTCTCTTAAAATATATAACACGTTCTCTTACCTTCCCTCCTCGTTGCATCCCCGACGATCCTCCTCGCTCTCTCGCCTCGGTGTTTCTCACCCCCTGCCGCATGCACGGTGGTCTCTATTAGGAACTTCCATTTTTCTGCCACAATGACGTTACTCGGTTCTTCGCTGCCTCTTTCTCGCAGTGCGAACATGGCCGGGGAGGGAAACGGAGAATCCGAGGACGGCGATGGGCGAGATTCTTCTTGCGAATGGCCTTTCGTCATTAGGGAATACGAGGAGGGACCCGGCTGTCGCGAGGTCGCGCTTATCGTGATTAAAAGTCTCGCTGCTGCTAAGGAGGATCTTTAATCAGCGACCACCTCTTCCTTTGAAACCAGACGGAAGGTTTTGTCGTTGCGTTTAAGGAGTCGGGTTTTAATAGGGCCCGGATGGGTTGATGCGTTTTCTGCGAGTTATTATCATTATTGCTGTGTCTCATCTTTATTTCACGTCGTAATCTAATCGTTATGAAAAGGAAGAAAGTGTACACTGAATGTTTATGGACCATAGGATATTGCTCGGGTTAATGATGATTCAAATGGATATTCAAATAGATTGTAAAGAAAACAAACGCAATTTATTTAAATGAGGAATTTCTTTATTATGTTGTTTGGAATTGACAACTTTTGTATAGGTAGCAGCAGAGAAATAAGGCACTCAATCGATTCAGTGTTGATCGTCTTGTTTTTACTCGTTGTATACACATTGTAACGCAGATATTGAATACATTGGGGAATATAAATGCGGTTTTTGTAGGGCAAACACTCGAATGGAAAACGTTGGCGATTCGTTAACACGAATATTGCTGAATTAGGTTCCCAACCTGACTGAGTTCTCCCGGTTTATTTGTATTCAGATATTTTACCATTTCACAGATATTTTCATACCTACATTTAAAACATTTTATAAATGAACACAACTGCACTTATATCGAAAGAATCCTAGTATTTTATTGAATACTAATACTATAAAGCAAAACGCAGAATACTAGATTCTTTTTATTTATGTATAATGTTGTTATTTACACATATTATTCCCAAAAATATCGGTGGAAAAGCGAAGTCCCGGGAACAAGAATTCCGGAACTAAGTGGCGAGGTAATCTGAAAAGTGGCCCGGTCGCATAACCTCGGTATCCAAGGATATTATTCATCAAAGTAAACCGTACAAAAGCGAAGCCCCGGGAACAAGAATTCCGAAAATAAGTGGCAAGGTAATCCTAAAAGTAGCCTGGGCACACCGGGCTTACGTCTCTATTCGCGTCGAAGTTGGCTCTCGCCTTGAAAGATACCTCTAGCCCGGAACGGTCCAGAAGCATCATCCTCTGCCCCATTCCCTCGTGTCCCCGGCATCCCCCGGGATACGCGGCGTGCTCCCGGTCGTGATTCACGGCTGAAGAGGACACATCGACTTTAAACCTCAAGCAGACGGGCAACCTCCAGACCCTGGCGCAGAGTCTCCTTTCATTAGTTGGAGTAGGAAACCAGCCAGTCAGCCAACCAACCAACCTACCTACCTACCAACTAACCATCCATCCAACCACCGCAACGACCTACCCACCGCACCACCACTGCCACACACCGCTGCCATCATCACCGACGTAGCCCAGGCTTCCATGATCCACTCTCGTTTCTGGCGCCCGGCTCCTGATCTTGCGTGCGGTTGACTCGTTTTCAATGAATACAATGCCGGGGCAGATCATATTGAATATGAAAACGGGAAATCAACGAGTGCTTCCCCTTTCCTCCTTTGCCGATCCCGCTGTCTCTCTTTTTCCTTCTATCTCGCCGGTATCCCTTTCTCCCTTCTTCGTTCCGCCGACGAGATTTCCATCGCGGACCGTGGACCCCGAGGCGGGATTTCCACGGTAGCTCCGCTGCTTTGTCGAATCGAGTCAAAGGGATAGAGAACGCGGCGGAACGGGGGAATGAACAAAAAAATGATATCGTGTCCGAGTATCGGACTTCATGAAAAACCTCCGACAGCGATACCCAGCAACGGACGCGGCTTAACCGCTGCATGGCGGATTAGTGACAGAGTCGTGCTGCTTTCCTGGTTAACCCGAATCGCCGACATTGCGCGCGCTTTCTGCTCGATCTATGCTACACGCGACGCGAACAGGGTGTATAGGGTTGTTCACTCGATATTACCACTTTGATTCTATTATGCAAAAGATATTAAATATAACGTTGAATGGGAGAGAGGCTTTCGAGAGAGGCTTTCAAGAGAGGCACATTCTGGTATGTTTGCTATTTTGTATGTAGAAGAGATATGAAAGGCAGAAATGGGTTTTCTTATACTGACCGGTGAAAGTTTATATTCTGTACTTTATATGTATTCTTGATTTTATTTTGACTTTATATGTATTCTTGATTATTCTTGATCTTATTTTGACTTCTAGAATCACCCTTTACAATTTTTCGTACCAGTAGTCGTACACTCTCAATAGTCACATGAAATAATAATCCTCTGATTTGGTTCAAAAGATACTTTGCATCAATATCGTAGTTTTTCTAATCACATTCCTTATTGATTCTTCCTCTATGTTAATTAAAAAGTAGTACGATATGTACGGTTCGGATATTGAGGGGCAGATGATACGTGCTCGAACGAGTTCGAACTTCGGTTAATGTAATACTCATGCAAACGCGTTAAGTATTGTATTTCTGTGACGCAGATATCTTTCAACCTTCCGTCTATCCTCCCACATCTTGGATTTCTTGAACCGTCTCATGGATGTCGCTCGTACCTCGATACTCAAGTCATGAAACATTTGTAGGGTTTGTAAAAAATAGTTGGTAACATTATAGGAAACGAGGCGTAATGAAAACGAGCATCACTTAATTATTAATTTTTATAGAAACATTTCACAATCTTGCACACTAGTATCTACACAAACTGCAAATTACTGTAAGAAATATGCAGGATATACCTAGGGAAAGTGAAAATATACAAAATATCTAACGCAGAGCAACATACGTAATAAACATAATCTTTACTATAAAATTCTACAAACATTCAAAACAAAAATATAAAATGTGTTTCTCTAAATTCTAGAGGAAGCGAAATTGTCACAAAGTCCTCGAGCTCCAATCGCGATTTTTACACACAAGAGTATTGCACGCAATCATTGCGAAGGGTCGAGTTCGAAATTGAGCGAGCAGAGAGATCGAATAAGCGAACTGTTAACGGTTTCGTCGGATTGTGTTTTCTTTGACATCGCGTCAGCTCCCTCGCAATATATTTGTTTCCATGGTCTCCGCAGTGACGAACACACTTCGTTAGGCGATCCACTCTCCGTTGTTTCCAAGCGCGGGCAAACTATGCACTTTACCCTCTAAACAACCAGTACCTTTAACCCACTTACGACCCTAACGTGCCACGTAGACACGTATTCACGGCCAAAGTCGACGAACGAGGTTTTATTCGTGTCACGAGCTAACTGCTAACGCCGTCGTTCCTTTTATGAGCCTATACGTATAATTGTAGTTTTATAGACCCGAGTTCAACGAACACTTGTTATTCAGTTTTAACTGTTACCCTTACTTCGCCTTACAAAAGTCAGTAAACGTTATTTAGTTGTAATTAAAATTATAACTAAAATAACTTTCGGAGCAATGTTTGATAGTATCAAAAGCGAATTTCTTTCAATTCATATTTTGTGTAATAATGATAATCAATATATTAATATTGATCTCAGAAAACCGAACTACGATACCGCGAATAATCTACATATTTGACACGGATTAAAATCTAGTAACCTCGTTTACGAATAAAGTCGTCGAGACTTAATACAGAAATTTCCAAATCCAGCAGACTGTTTAGAGGAAAGCAGGCATGCGAAAGGGCCGAGCGAAGAGAAGGAGGGAAGATACGTAGCCGAGGAAACGTAAGATCGTCGGAGCAGAAGGGAGGTCGGTATAATTAGCTTTTGCAGATTTTTCGACGACGTTCCGGGGAATGGTACGGTGCGAGTGGTGGGCTGGTTTCACGAGTAGAGATGCTCGATTCTTCGGATGCTCTCGCGTATGGGCAAAAGGCTGGTGCCGGATGGGTTCTGTTGCTCCTCTCCTCGGTAGCGTTGTCGCTACCGCAAGAGTATTGCACGCAATCATTGCGAAGGGTCGAGTTCGAAATTGAGCGAGCAGAGAGATCGAATAAGCGAACTGTTAACGGTTTCGTCGGATTGTGTTTTCTTTGACATCGCGTCAGCTCCCTCGCAATATATTTGTTTCCATGGTCTCCGCAGTGACGAACACACTTCGTTAGGCGATCCACTCTCCGTTGTTTCCAAGCGCGGGCAAACTATGCACTTTACCCTCTAAACAACCAGTACCTTTAACCCACTTACGACCCTAACGTGCCACGTAGACACGTATTCACGGCCAAAGTCGACGAACGAGGTTTTATTCGTGTCACGAGCTAACTGCTAACGCCGTCGTTCCTTTTATGAGCCTATACGTATAATTGTAGTTTTATAGACCCGAGTTCAACGAACACTTGTTATTCAGTTTTAACTGTTACCCTTACTTCGCCTTACAAAAGTCAGTAAACGTTATTTAGTTGTAATTAAAATTATAACTAAAATAACTTTCGGAGCAATGTTTGATAGTATCAAAAGCGAATTTCTTTCAATTCATATTTTGTGTAATAATGATAATCAATATATTAATATTGATCTCAGAAAACCGAACTACGATACCGCGAATAATCTACATATTTGACACGGATTAAAATCTAGTAACCTCGTTTACGAATAAAGTCGTCGAGACTTAATACAGAAATTTCCAAATCCAGCAGACTGTTTAGAGGAAAGCAGGCATGCGAAAGGGCCGAGCGAAGAGAAGGAGGGAAGATACGTAGCCGAGGAAACGTAAGATCGTCGGAGCAGAAGGGAGGTCGGTATAATTAGCTTTTGCAGATTTTTCGACGACGTTCCGGGGAATGGTACGGTGCGAGTGGTGGGCTGGTTTCACGAGTAGAGATGCTCGATTCTTCGGATGCTCTCGCGTATGGGCAAAAGGCTGGTGCCGGATGGGTTCTGTTGCTCCTCTCCTCGGTAGCGTTGTCGCTACCGCTGCCGATGCGGCGCGGCGTAGAACCCTGGTTCCGTCCGGCTCTTCAGGCTCCTCCGCGAGAGGAGGATCCGACGTCGACAGTCGGCGCACAAAGCTTATTATGCCGGCTTGGCTCTCTTCAGGGCCCCAGAAGAGGATGGGCTTGTGCTCGCTCTGCCATGGCACAAGTTAAGTTGATAGCACTCGACGAACATCCTTCCTGTCTACATCCTCGATTCGGCTACGAACCTTCTACCCATGCTACCTCCTCCTTTACTCGCGTCTCTTCTTCCATGCGCCACTACTCTTGTTCGCTCTTTACACGAGCGAGGTTGCTCTCTCGCCGCGCCGTCTGTCTATTCACTCTCTATACGTATTTACTCTGTTCGGTGCCTCGATGCGCCTCTTCCCTTTTGCCGTCGGCGGAGCATCTTCGTTTCTGCCCCCTCTTTCACCCTCCTATCGCGATTCCACGCTTTTCGAGGCGAGTCTCCTCGTTGGATGTCGGACGTCGAGCCTTCCAACGGGGCTAGCCACACTTTTCCTATCGAAAGATGCAGACAGATTGCGGTACTTCAAGATTTCAAATCAATTTTTTACAAGCTTCGTTTAGGATCACAAAGACAGGATGAGTATAATAAGCGTCTATATAATAGTAACGTTCAGTGATTGTAGATATTATGAGAATTAAAAAACGTCCGTTCCAATTTGTTACGCAGCGAACGTTTCAATCCCAGCTGAATCCCATTTTTTCAAATGATAGGCGTTACATCGAGTCGTGGGTGACATTATTCGCGTTTGTGAGCGTCAGTCGACAAATGGGAAGTCAACAGACTTTCGACCATTATTTACAAGCATTATCGCCGGCGGACGCGCGTAAACAGGGATATATTTGACCCCGCGCGTGTTTGCTGCGCGGCGAAAATCGTCCGGTGACAAATCACCGAGGATGGTAAAACGCGAAAAACCTCAACCAAATTTACCCGCTCTTTTAACGGGTAAATACTTTTACCACCGACTGGATTCAACGCACTTTGCCCAGCCATCGGCCCCATTGATCGGACTTCTGCCCGATAAACGATACTAAATGCCAGAATGCGTTAATAAGTTCTGTACTATTTTTTTATCCGCATTGTTCGCAACAATTGAATGAATCTTAATGGCGATCAGAAATTTAATATTGAATCACGTTCAAACAGTTCCGACTTCATTTGTGAAGTGTATCATTGTAGTATGTCGTACATATAAATGTAAAAGTTGAGTAAGAGTTTGAATAACGACATTCAGACTTGTAGACGAAGAACTAAAAGAACGTGAAACCGAAACGATCATCTCATGGTCACAAACAAATAGATAAGTGAAAGAACACTATTAAATACTCTATTGCTACACTCACAGAAATTAATGGTGAAACATGTAACAGATATTTACACTTTATATCCATGAAGACTTTGAACTTATATGGACCGTATAAAAACACACGAACGGACGTTTGTTACGCCACCTAGCGTAAAAATTTTTCATTAAGATAGTTGAAGTCGTAAGAAAATTTGAAGAGGAACCGGCCGAAATTTGGGTAACAACGATTCTAGACGCGGGATGGTGTACCGGAGAGCTCTGTGGCTCGACTGATCGCCTTCTACCTCGAAAAGCCTTATATAGGCTTCCCCGAATTTTGTGGTCCACTTAACTAGAAAACCTGGTGCTTATCCGACTCCGGAGCCGCTGCAAAATTACACGCTTCGGCTTATCAAGCCGTGAAACTGGTATTAAGCGTCAGACGAACGAACGCGCGGGCGCTCCTGCACGCGCGCGAGGAGCCTTCGCCGGAGCCGGAGAGCTGAACCCGGAATGCACCAGTAAGCTCGTTTCCTAGGGTACCCGCTATAACTATATACACGGATATCGTTCACCTGACCGATCACCCTGACTTTTCGATCGGAACGTCCGCGTCCGTGCCGAATCGACCACCCACCCCATCCCCTTCGCCCCCCCCCTTCCCACCTCGTGGACAAACGGCCACTTTCCCCCCGACCACACTCCTCTCTCTACTTTGTTCCCTCCTTTTGTTTCCCCCTTGTTGTTTTAATTTAGACGGGGACGAAGATCGGTCCTGCACTACATGAACGTTGTTCATATTGTTGTTTGATATACATTGTGAAAAATCTGTCATTTATGCGTGAGTGTTTCAGACATCAGGTAAATAAAAATTGAAACTATAAGAATTGCATTTAAAAAAGAATTGGGAGGACAGCTTGGGAACAGGTTTTAATATATACGTATTATTCATCGTTTAATTCTAGCAATAAGTATCACGTTCCTCAAAGCCAAGGTTCCTCCGAGTGACGATTAATTCTGCGTCGTCGGATTAACAGCAACTAACACGATCCGCGTCGAAACGTTTCGAGAGGCGTGAGTTATATCTCGTCGGAGCGACGACTCCGCGTCTCTTGAAAACGATGGTGAACACCCTCGCGGCGCGGGCGTATTCTACACGTGTATCTAGTGACGCGTCGCCGCGAGATACACCGTTGACGCGGTGTCACAGTAATTAATTTCCCTCAAATTGCTTGAGAAACAGCGAAGGAACTTTGCTCGTCGCGCCGCACGCGCCGCCTGCGAGTTCAAATTACAATTCGAGAATGCCGGTTAAATGATGGGGCTTAATTGAATTGCAGCTGGCTGGGAACTAATTTGCATCCGCCTTCTTGATGCCACGAGGAATCCTGGAATCGAAACTCGGAACCTTGCGTAAATACGTGCCCCTGCGAATAAACGATTCGATAGCCGGTATCGAGAGAATGTGAGTCGGTATCTGAAAGTAAAGGAGTGCGAGAGGATAAGGGAGGAGGAAAATAAGGCGGATGAGAAAACTGAGAAACAGGAACAGATGCCAGGGTTCTTCATGTCTGGCTTCACCCCCGTCGAGTCAACCTCGACAATACCCGCGGGCCGACAGACTTCGCCTCTATCGAAAGATCCTCCCTTCAACGGCTAATCTTCTTTTAGCTGACACTCGATTGAATTCTGAGGCGATACGCGAGGAAGCTGAGAATGTAAACTCGTTGCCTTTTCATACGTAAAACGTACGTACCTCAGCGTAACTTACTTTCTTCACAACAAAATAAATGTATATTGAAGACTTTTTTTTATTAAATTACCATAAATATGAATCATAGATACGAAACTACTTATAATACGAAAACATATAAAAAGAAACAATAAAACAAATATACTCATTATCAAGTGTCCAGCAGTAGATGTACTCAGCAGACTCACGTTTTAATTTCTAAAGAAAACTCAAATTCCTTTTGCCGAAACGTCGCCTCGTCTTAAACTTCTCAATAAGCAGCGCGTCAACGACACCCGGGATCAACCATAGGATTCCATTACGAAGTTTGCGCGTTAAAAAGGAGGGCGCGGATTCGTTTTGGTCGGGGTAAGTAAATTGTTTTCGTGGAAACTCGCAGCCGTCGTTTCGCATGTTCCCGAGTCAGTCACGGAAAGTCGCGCGCGCGTTTCCATCGACGTTCAACGCACATTTGCTATCGCGCGTAGGTATCGTGCATCATTGCACGGGACAGAGATGCAGCGTCATGCGCCACAAAGAAATATGTCATCATCCACGCGTGAAACTGTCGGCCTGTCGTTAATTCGCTGACGACAGCTCGAGGGGATATTTGAAAAACACATTTATTGATCAAATTAGTGATTATCGTAGATGTGATTGAATTGGAGAGTTATAATTGGCATATGCGTATAAAAATTGCAAAACTAATAAGAAATCGTACGTGGATTACAAAAATTGTATTTTACAATTCGACTTGCTTTACACAATAGAGACCGTCCTCTGTGTCACATTCGGGGTTCATTCACAATTTACTTATAGATATAAAAAGTCCGTTCAATCTCCAGAATCAATTTCCTCGTCCAGCTAACAGCTAAAGCGTTAAAAGCAGATTAAAGATCGGGGCATTACAGCATGGTAGCCATGGCCCATCGAACGATCGTGGA